GCCAGGGAATTGTATCCAAAGCCATTAGCGCATCTCACCGTTAACCACATCAGTGCTGGGGCCGCAGGCATTGGCACCTGGGCACCTTTTTGGGGTGACAGGGGTGGGTGGCCACTCAGCAGACTGCTGTGCTGAGGACAGGGGGGGCTCACAGGTCTGTGGCCACCCCGGCGCCTGATAATTTTCCCAGAGAGGAATATATGGAGCGTCGGGCGAGGGCTAGGACGCGTATCCCTAAATTGTGTGGTTTCCAGCCGGCCTGTGAGATGCAAATTGTCTGGTCAATGAGTGCCAAAGCTAAACTTAGGTCAATTACAGGAAAGTGTGGGCTCAGGGCAGTGTGTTCCTGCACCCCAAGGCTGGCCCTGGCACTGGGGGATCCCCACCCACCGCCCCATCCCTCTTGGGAGCCGAGCATTCCCATAGCGCTTGCACCAGCCCTGGACTTTGCCCGCTGACGAGCCAGGCTCAGCCCTTCACCTTTGCTGTGGGCTGGGCTGTGCTGGGTGTCAGGCTGTGAATTTGGGGCCAGAAACAGGGAGACCTGTGCAAGATGGTGTGGGGGCAGCTAACCCACCTAACCCCTGGCTGCTCTTTGAACTGTCTCCCACCTGTCAGCACAGCTGGGATCCCGCCCCACCACCTTTGCCCTGTAAGGCCTCTTGAGCTGTGTCATTGCCCAGCTTCAGGGCAAGGCGGGTGCTTGAACCCCCCTCACACACCCTGTGCACCCTCCTGGCCCATGGGGACACCTCACAGCCAGTCTGGGTCCCCTTTGCTGTTGGACATGGGGTTCCTGTGGCAGGAGGGCCCAATATCCCGCTTTGGTGACAGCCTGGTGGCACATCCTGGCTGTGACTCAGGTATATCTGGTATTGTTTTCCTCCTGACACATCCCAGCGTTGTCTGTAAGGGCAGGCAGTGCAGAGGGATTTGGAAACTCCCTAAATTTCCTTATTCTGTGGAAAACTTGTGTCCAGCAAGGAGCCATCACGCAGATCAGCCCCCTTTCCTCTGTGTGGGAGCTGGCCTGGCTGCTTGGCAGCGATGCCAGCAGCTCCTGCCCCCTGGCACAGCGCTGTCCCTGCCCAGCCGGGCACAGCGGGGATGTGGGACACCCCAACACGGTGTGTCCAAGGAGGTGATGGCCACCAACTCCTGTGCTGAAGCCGTGGGTGAGCAGGGCCCTACAGCCAACACTGCGTCGGGGAGCAGAGCAGGGAGGGCAGGCGACTGTGAAACTTGCAGTGCAGGTCCCTGCGCGGGAGCGTGTCGGATGAGATTGCGTCTCGGGGAGGGAAGGAGTGGCCTGGAGTTTCAGTGAACGCCTTCCTCCCTGCCTGGAACTCCCCGGCGCCCTGGCAGGGATGTGGGGGCTCATGGTCATGATGGGGGGACAAGGGAGAAGGCGCATCCCCCCCGAGCTTCTGCTTGAGAGGCTCAGGGAGGGCTACTGGGTTGGGGAACCTCAAGCTGGGTCTTCTTTTTCGCCTCTTGGCCCTTCCGAAGTGACATCCAGAATCCCTTGCCAGCCTGGGTGTCACAGCAGCATCCTCGCGTGCGATCCCGGAGCACAGCTGGCGCCGGCGGGTGCCTCTCCCTCCCCTGTCATGGCTCATACACGCTGCCCCAAACACGCCTGGCCATGAAGAGTCCCAGAGCGAGCCTGGGCTGAGTCAGGGAAGGTGTGTTGGGTCTGAATCAGGAGCAAGGAGACGCTCAGCAGCCGCCTCCTGCTCACGGCATTGGGCTGCACCCATCCAGCATCCCCATGGCGGGAGCCTCCTTGGGGAAAAGGGGACAAACCACAAGGGCATTCTACATGGACTGGGGGACCAGTGCAGGGGGGGTGCCGGGGTTCCTGTCCCCCTTGCCCTGCTCCTGCCCATTGTGGCCCTGTGTGGGGCACACGTGGCTGCACCAGCGGCTGCCGGTGCTGCCTGATTAGTGATGCGGCTGGGAAGGCTGTTCCCCCTTTTTGTTGAGCGTACAAAGGCTGGGAGGCAGCGTGTGTGCCGGGAGAGAAACCGCCGAGGACAAAGAGCGCGCTGGCCGCCTGTCTCCCGGTGCCTCAGCTCTAAGCAGCACCTGCCTGGTGAGCAGCTCTGCTCCCAGGGGATCCCCGGGAAGGGTCCCAGCAGCCCCCTCCCTGCCATGGGGTGAGCTCAGGGTGCTCCTGGGGGTACAGCCCTTTCTACAGCTTCAGGGATGTCCAGGCAACTGTGGCACCAGTGGCATGTGTGGGGACAGGGACAGGCACAGGTGGTTCCCTCCCTGCCATTGTCTGCCCTGAGGCCCTGGCAGAGCCATGGAGGAGCTGGTGGGGAGCAGCCCCTGTGATGGCAGAGCCACAGGGCCCTTCACAGCAGCACCTGCTGTGGGTCATGGGAAGGAGCTGTGCTGTCCCCTGACTCGGGTCAGTGGTCACCTTGCAGCCAGCAGTTCTGGGAAAGGAGAAAGGAACTGGGTTGTTTTTATGAATTTTGTGGTCCTGCTCTGGCCAGATCCTGCTGTTTGTCTGGGTAAAGCCCCAGGTGCTGCAGGGAGGGCAGAGCAATCAGAGCCCCGGGGCTGGGTGGTGTCACGGCAGCTGCTCTGGACATGGCCAGGAGCCTCAGAGCTACATACCCGACTTTGTCCCTCCGGCTGCTTTCCCTCACTGCCTCGGTGGCATCACGTGCTCGGGGCCAACACTGTGCCATGGCTTGCAGAGCTCTGTCTTCACCTGCCCTGTGGCAAGGCCTCTCCTGAGCTTGTGTGCCCCTGCCCCAGCCCCGAGGAGCAGCTGTGTTCAGGCAGTTTCCTGCCATCCCCGTGTGGCTTTGCCAAGAGGAAACTGAGTTCTCCAGTGTCCCACTGGGTGCATTCAAGGGCAATGGGGACTGTGTGCTCTTGCAGGGAGATGGTCCAGGCAGTGATGGTGATGCAGTACTGATGCTGTGCTGGAGCCAAGGTGCAGCTTGGCACAGCACAGCACATCCATGCACCCCAGGATGCCTGCAGAGCCTGGGCTGCCGTCATGGGCAGTGCTATCCATCCCTGTGGCCACCCAAACCTCACCCCCACACCCGTCAGAAAGCTGTAAAGCAGATGCTTCAAACGTGGGGAGTTTTCCTGTTGTCCTTTGTGCTGAGGTTAAGTTCCTGTGCGGCTTCCTGACCCGTTATATATAGCTGTCAGCCCATCCCGTGGGCGCTGCCAGCCACTTGCTCCACTTTGGAATTGTTTATCCTCATCCCGAGCACTCGATGGAGGTTGGGGGAGGGAGGGGCTACCAGTTACCCCAGGGGCAGACGTGTCCCATAGCACCCCGTGTGGGGTGAGGCTGTGGGTGCTCCCAGGCACTGGGTGCATGTGGGGTTTTCCAGGAAGGAGCTGGGTTTTCTGCCCAACCACAGTTTTCCCACTGGCTGGGTGCTCCCCCCGCCCTGCGCGGGATGCCCAAATGAAAGAGCGACTGTTCCTGGAGGTCGCCGTCGGCGTCACAAGTTTCTACGTCGCCCTGGCTAAAATTAGACACTTATCAGTGTTGGGAGGGATGTGATTTTACAGGTTCCTGTTTATTAGAGCAACCTTCGCTCCGGGCCATGTTTCCGGCTCCCTCCCTGCCCGCGGCTCTCCCTTGCGGTTTGCGGTGGCCAGGGCCAGGATGAGCAGCAGAGGAGCCTCTGTTTCCTCAACAAGGGGCTTTTGAACGGCAGGCAGGATGCTGGTGGTGCTGTGGCTGGCTGGGATGGGGGGTTTTACCCTGGGGAGTATCTGTGCTGGCAGGAAAAGCAATCAGAATGTGTTCCTTGCTGCTCACCCGTGCTGCTCTGAAACGGCTCCTGAGCTGCAGGAGATGCCGGGGGTCTTACCTGCAGTCAGCCCTGGTGCTGGCAGGGGCATACACAGGGATGCAAGGCTTTTGGGCTTCTTTTGGGACATCCCTGTGGGTGCAGGGCCACCCTTGTTGCATCTCTAGGACTTTGTGCCCAGCTGGGGTGAGAACACAATGACTGGGGCAGTCTCAGCCCTGTGGTGCTGCTGTCCCCAGAGAGGGTGGAAACGCTGGGACATGACCCCGTGGGCTTGGGATGGCAGCTGGGGTGACCAGTGGGGTGGATTGAGGGGTGGTGAGTGGGTGTTGGCCATGCTGCTGTCTGATAGCACCCTTGCCTCTCTGTCCTGTGCAGGCGGCTGTGCTGTGACCAGCACCCTGACCCAGCGCCCTGCCACGGGGGCAAGAGTGCCCCAAGCCCCCCTCCACCATGTTCAACCTGATGAAGAAAGACAAAGAGAAGGATGGGGCCCGGAAGGAGAAAAAGAAGGAGAAGAAGGAGCGAATGTCAGCAGCTGAGCTCAAGAGCCTGGAAGAGATGAGCATGCGCAGGGGCTTCTTCAACCTCAACCGTGCCTCCAAGCGGGACTCCAAGACCCGCCTGGAGATCTCCAACCCCATCCCCATCAAGGTGGCCAGCGGCTCCGAACTGCACCTCACGGACATCGACTCCGACAGCAACCGGGGCAGTGTCATCTTGGACTCGGGCCACCTGAGCACGGCCAGCTCCAGTGATGATCTCAAGGTGGACGACGGCAACTTCAAGGGCTCGGTGCTGCAGCGGGCGGCCAAGTTTGGCTCCTTGGCCAAGCAGAACTCCCAGGTGATCGTCAAACGCTTCTCCTTCTCCCAGAAAAGCCGGGATGAGAGCACCTCGGAGACCTCCACCCCCTCTGAGCACTCGGCAGCCCCCTCCCCGCAGGTGGAGGTGCGCACGCTGGAGACCCCACTTGACAAGCAAGGGGTTCCCCCTGGACAGCCCTGCACCCCTCCCGCCACCTCCTTGCGTGCCAGGGTGCCGGAGCTCA